AGAAGTTCTGCATATTTAAACTCCACTACCATCACTGTTGGGCTCAGCACTGCCGATGCGTTTGAGGGAACCGTCCTGAAGAACCTCTGGGTCTGTGGCCACCTCAGGTCCAGGTCCTGCGAGTCACACAGCATGATCAAACCTTCAGGACCTCCAGGGTCCAACTTGTTGCCTCTTTGATCCACAGAATGCTGTTTCCATGAATGAATCCTAAACTAGGCTCTTCGGGGCAGAGAACCGGGATGGTGCGCCCTCACCTGTGCGGATGTAGAATTGCATAGCCTGTTGCTGCTGCCGCCTCTTAATCCGAGTGTACTGCTTCTTCAGTGCAGTGATGTCCGTGCTCATCCTCTCCATCATCATGCTGTTGATGGCCGCTTGATGCTCCGCTTTAGCACTTCCTCCCACTGCTCCTGGGCTCACCTCAGCAAAGCTCTCCTGTTCGACTCGCTGGTCTGGATAGAAACACAGGACAAAAAGATGGTTGAAGGAATTGATTTAAAAGCCTGCTATAAATTTCAGATCCTCATGAAATGAAACGTTGAATCAGAGTTTTTGTATCATCCTCTAAAAACTCTTTAAAGTTTAAAGCTGTTTGCTATTTTTTTTGGAAAATATTTACATTTTCAGTAGAACTTGAAAGTTTTGGTTTGATCATGAGGGTCCAGATCATTTCTCTTTGGACTGGTCACCAACCTCTGAGATGTTTCTGGTATCTCTGCAGCTCAGGGGCCAAAAGTCCGCCCAGTGGCCCCAGACAGCCGAGCGCCGCTGTCACAGAGTCTTCGTCATCGACGTCAACATCGTCCTCGCTGTCCCAGCCGCCAGGACCGCTGCCGGGAGAAGGACAGCTGTTAGGATGGAAGGTGGACATCTCTGAGATTATAGTTCAGCTGGTTCCTGACGGGGGCCAAAGCTCCTGGAAAGTTCAGGAGCTTCTCCTGCACAAGAACGCAGGAATTCCTGCCAGAACCATTAATAGATTAATATGGTGGATGTAAGGGAGGATAGGAGGAAAGGAGAAGGATACATGGGAAAACAGAAAATAGGACACAAGGAATAAAGGATGGAGGGAATCAGAAAGGACAGAAGAAAGGAAGGACACAAAGGAATGAAGGCAGGAAGGATGGAAGGAGAGGACACAAGAGAATGAAAGCAGAAAGGATGGAGGGAGAGGACACAAGGGAATAAAAACGGGAAGGGTGGAAGGAGAGGACACAAGAGAATGAAAACAGGAAGGATGGAAGGAGAGGACACAAGGGAATGAAAACGGGAAGGGTGGAAGGAGAGGACACAAGGGAATGAAAACGGGAAGGGTGGAAGGAGAGGACACAAGGGAATGA